ACAGCAGCCCCAAATTTGCAAAAGGTGAAACGTCATCAATAAGGAGGCGAGAATTGCAAGATCGATGCTCATGCTGTTGATCACTGGGTTGTCTCGATTATCCTGACTCGATTATCTGCCGACGGTCGTCTTATAGCTTGGATATTGTTGAGTGTGGCGTTAAACAACAACCAAACCAAGCCAAAAATATATTCCATACCAAAATGTCAGCAAAGAATCGACCCGACAAAAATCAACTTCGATTAAAAAAGACTTGAAGCAAAACAGTCAGGGCCCAAAACAATAACCCAGTTTCCTACACAGCAACAAAACAGTTCCAGCGTTATGCAGGCTGAATGAACGCATATTGCTGTGAAATTGATCCAGGCACAGATTTAGTGTTAGACAAAGGTCAGTATGTTTTATAAGTATTTGTCTATCGCATCTATCCTCTCGACAGATATAAACGATCTGCTCTTTACTTCACAGCCCCACTTACCGATATTGCCGTACATAAACTACACCAGAAGCACTGCGCCACTGTTCGGGACGCGACCTTCACTTTCCAGGTTAGGACACGTTATCGCCTTCTTTGTTTCATCATCGACCGACCCTGAAGGTTGAGATTTGTTTGTTTATATTTTTATCCGTAATTCGGTTCCGTAGTTTTCGTTTCCGTTTCAAATTTTAATGTAACCTACCGTGACTGCCAACTACTTATTTATTTAGTTTTCTTTAATACAAAAGGGACGAGAAACAGGCATATTTAGTATATGTGACCTGTTTGTCCCTTAAGCCGGATATTTATGAGGGGCTTGAGTGAGCTCGAGGCCTACGTTAACTGGTGGGTCACCAACATCACGTATGTTGTAAACATAATATTTTTATGTCAGGCATCAATATGGCGCCCAAGCGTAAAGCCTAGAGGTCAAGTTGACAAACATTATAAAACCATTTTGCCTTTCACAAAATATACTATATCACTGGGATAAGTTTGAAGAGTTTGAGCATACTTTTACGCCGCTCTTCGCAATATTCCACAGGAATACCAAGATGGGGGGGAACCAGGAAACGGTCTTCACACATTCTACCCATGTGGGAAATCGGATTCGCTTTTCGTACGAATACTTAAACCACGCAACAAAACCGCCCCCTTATATGAGAATATAACTATAGTCGTTTGCAAGGTACATTAGCAGCATATAGTAGATGAATTTGAAATGGAGAACATAGGCGGATCCAGAGAGGGGTTGGGGTTGGTGCAGGGGCACACACGCACACACACACACACACACACACACACACACACACTTTGTCCTGAAAGTTCATTAAATGACCATTGAAACTCTCGTGAAAAGGGGTGAAGACCAACGGTGCACCCCTCCTTTCACAAAAAGCTGTATCCGCCCCTGAAGGAGATAACGTATTGTTTCAATTTGATATTATTTGGACATTATCAACCCTTCTGGTGGAAACTGAATGACGAATAACCTTAACATAACTAGACAAACAAATTCCTCGTTTCAGAAAAAGATGAAATAGCAAAATTTACATTCGCCGAAGACTAATATTGATTATGAGTAATGCAAATCAGAGAGTAGATATTTTAGAAACTTCCATGTCAGAATTAATTTGTATCTAGATACGTTCCGACATGCTAATGTCATTAAACAGATTTCACATGTCGCTACCGATAAAGCCTTCCCATTACAGTTCACGCCAGAGTTACCTTTCAAGCTACCAATCAGAGCGTCTCTTACGAGATCGGAAGGTGACAGTCGGAACATGTCTTTTGTTCATGCAATCTCGGAAAGGTTAATGCGGGGTATTGCGAAAGACATTTGCGGGCTGTACGACTGAATCCATCTCTCACATCTCTCACATAAACATTTGAACAGGAGGCCACTTACTATAGTCCGTTGGAAGAATTGCCTTGCGATCAAGGCTATATTTCAGACTTCAGACTGTATCACATGTTTTCTTCACCTGTAACGGGATCGGGTGATCAGGCTCGCTGACTCGGTTGACACATGTAATCGTATCCCTATTGCGTAGATTGATCACTGTTCCATGTTGTTGATCACTGGATTGTCTGGTCCAGACTCGATTATTTACAGACCGCCGCCATAGAGCTGGGATATTGCTGAGTGCGGCGTTAAACAACAACTTCTTCAACTCCACATATATAAGAAATGTTCACCTTTTCCAACCAAGAAATTAGAAAGAACATCAAAGACATCATGTTTTACAAGTCAAAAAATCATCTTCAAAGACTTCATATACCAGGCTGGGGGCTGTCCCACAACCAGATCTTCGCGCTACGATTGTCGTTGATCGAAATATTGGCCACCTCGAACATGCTTCGCGGAAGGATCCGCGGAAATCAAGTGTACCGTGTACCACACTGCAGTGGTCTTCGATTATGAGAACAAGGCGCATGATGTAGGATGACACATGACAAGGTTACATTCAGAACTACATAATAAATTACCAGATTCTATGGATGTGTAGATAGAAGCCACAAAACCCTTTCCACGTTCATACGAAATCTCTGCCAAAAGTGAAGTGAGGTGAAATTGGGTTTAACGTCATGCTTGAGAATATTTCGCTCATATGACGACGTGCATGCGTGTGTATGTGTATGTGCGGCTGCTTGTACTAGCCCAGACTTAAGCTGGTTTTATAGTGCTAGCCCACTGAGATACCATGCCGCAGTGAAGCATGAATACCCCACTCAGACACATTATACTGACTCTGAGCCGACCAGTCCTTGCTGTACCCATTAATGCCTAGCGCCAGGCAGGTACCAACAAGTACCATATTTTAACGTATTTTGGTATGACGCGATCGGGGATCGAACCCGCGACCTTCCGTTCTCCGGGCGGACGCTCTAACCACTACACCACGGAGGCGGTCTCTGCCAAAAGTGGAGTCCATTGTACAATTGTGATTATATCATGAGCAGATATTTGTTTCAGCAGTATTACAGATGTATGATCTTGTTTGCAAAACAAATCTGGTCTGAAGCAGACAATCCAGTGATTGTCACCATGCGATACGATGACACAGCATGTGTTTATGACGATACCAGGTGTTTGCAAAAAGGTGAGTGTATCCTGCCCCACCGGTGGCACCCGTCATAAACATATGCTGAGTCTAGTCATTTGTTCACCTGCAATAATTCGGGAACGTCTGGTATAAGTCAAAATAGGGAATTGCATCGGACATATTTTTTGGTCACTGATGCATCAAATTTGGAATTTTCCTCCACATGAAACAAAAAAAACCAAAATAGCAATTAAATCATTTGCGTGTCACATACTTTAGCATAAATGCCCATATCTGCTTTTTATCCTGAATCATAAAAGCCTGCTTTACATATTTTTTGTCGGTGTGACCTTTTGCCACCTGTTCATAACGCCTTCATGAATCAATTTCAAATGGTTCTATGCATGTTGCGTTGTTATACGAATTACATTTACAATGCCGGGAAAAAGAAAATGTGAAAAATGGATTTGATAATTATAAGTGTCAAAACGTTATTTGGCTGAGCTTTTCATTTCGTATCGCCTCTGATACCGTTATCAAATATCAGATTAACCAATCCCAGTTTGTTTCATTTTAAAGTGAGTGAGTGAGTGTGGTTTAACGCCACTTTTAGCAATATTCCAGCAATATCAAGGCAGAGGACACTAGAAATGGGCTTCACACAATGTACCCATGTGGGGCATGGAACCCGGGTCTTCAGGGTGACGAGTGAACGTTTTAACCACTAGGCTACCCCGCCGCCCCTCATGTTTAGAACTGTGTTTTGGCCGGCAGTTTATTATGATCAAATATCTAGCGACCGCAGTTCCCGGTAGGGGCGCTGGTGTAGCTATTTTAGAAAATGGCCAGAACTTGGTTCACCGACCCCTACAAACCGTCGCGTTTAAGGCTTAATTACACCTATTTCCGTGACGATTTCCGCGCGGTTTTTTTTAAATATGAGAAGTACAAACCTTCGAAATGGCGTATTTCGCACAACTGTATATTCTGGACGAGAAAACGATTTAATATGAGGTAAGTGAAATTTCAGATATCTACCAAATACCTTAAAATCAACAACGTCAACAAAATACGGCGAAATACGCTTAATATAGATCTAAAAGAAATGAAAATATATTTTTATGTATTTTTTTTCAATGATCAAAGCGACGAAAAAAAGGCTTAAAGTTTTCAGTCGGTCAGCTGATTAGAGTTACCTGCCCTTGTATCTGCCGTCACATATTCCCAGGCACTTCCAATGAGCGGTTCCACAGAGGGTACAAAATGTATTTTTAATCAGAATCATCATTATGAAACCTTATATTCTCATTTATGTCATCGGTTATCTATTTTCTGATACTTTAAGCAATATATTTGAGCATCCAAATTTGAAGAAAAGGCAGAAATTGTATATTAAGTGAGTTTAAAAGTTTTTGCTAGTTATTAACACTAATTATCATTATTTTTGCCACTTTTCTGCTTCTTAAATGAAAACACGTTTCTGCTTCTTAAAACGGCTTTAAATGAGAACAGAAGTTGATTGGCAAGTAGTTTAACCTGTCAGGAACTTACCATCTGTATGGAAATATAGTAAAGTTATTTTATAACATTACATGTATTTCAATTATTAGTAACTAATTATCATAATTTATGCTGCGTTTGCAAAATTGAAAACACCTTTCTTCTTCTTGAATAGGCTTTAAATGAGAACAAAAAGTGATGAGTAAGTAGTTTAACCTGAGGAACTTACCATCTGTATGGAAATATAGTATCAGTATATTAGAATATTGTATTTCAATGTAAGTTTGAAAATGTTTCAGACATCCTGATCCTGTAAGCAAAGTTTCACTGTGACTGCCAATGTTCTGCCCAACACACGAACTAAATGGAATTGGGTATATATATATAAGTTGCAGTTAACTTTGAAGACATAGATCATCAATTATTTAGTGTTCTATATATCAGTAATATGTACATGTAAATGTAATGCACAGGACACCTTTTTGAATAGGTGAATGTTCTTGTGGGTGCAAAAGTTATTGTTATTTCTTGTCATTACGAAATGCTCAAATGAGCAGTATTGAAAGAGATATCTTTTTCGCATTGTAGATTGACATCCATATGGATTAACTAGATGTTTATCTGCCAGCCAATTTCAATCTCAAATCACATGGTTTTAAGCATCAAATAGCATTATTGTTAAACCTCCTTTCATATCCAAAGACCAAGTACAGACGAAATGGCAAACATCATTCATATGCAATTTCCAAAGTCACCTCATTATCACATTTAGGAACATAGATATAAGATGGTACACTAAAATGACAATGTTGAATATTTACAGATGCACGCAGGTAGTCGCCTACTACAGCTAGGCCTATACTGAAAATGGACCGGGCAGCATAGTCTCTCTTTAATGCCACTATTTCTCTGTGTGATTTGAGGTGACCATTTACTTTAAAAAAATGACAAAATGTTCTGTTAAATATGTACTAAAATTCTGTACTTGAGACATATTGGCAAACATTTCGTGCAAAATTTTGCATGGATGTAAATAGGGTTGCTTACTAACCAGTTTGTCACTAACAATTCAGTTTGTGGAATAGATTAACAGGTTTTTTATTTGTTGTATTTTTGGTAAGTTTGTGTCAGATACTTCTTGCTTCCAATATCATAAATGTTCGTGTTCCATTTCAGTTCTACACTGCACATACTTTTGAATTGTAACTGTCATCCATATGAATGATGTATTAATAAATAACAGATTCACAATATAATTTCATTCCAAAGTTGGTTAATCGAGTACAATGTTCTGTAAACTTTACGCAGTCATTTTTATAACAAAGTATGGTATGTTATTTGTAACTAATGGTTTTCTACTATTTCAACGGTTCAAACCTCGCCCATTCATGATGCCGAATTGATGAATACGAAGGCAGTCTACCCAGGTATTACTTTAATAATGTTTTAGGACATTATGTTCCTCTTGAAATAATAGGATTTTAATATAATCATTTATCCTGCTTTATCACAATATGGACCTAACTAATGCTTCATTAAAAAGTTCCTTATAAAGCTGCAAAGACTTTTCTATTGTCCATCTATATTGTTTTTTATCCCCGCAACAATGAAGTTGCGGGGGATGTAGAAACGAGTTCCGTCCATCTGTCCGTCCATCACACTTTGTCCGAAGCATATCTTCTAAACTATTCGTGATAGCTTAACCAAACTTGGTACACATGTCTACCATGATCACTAGATGTGCCTTTTAGGGGTTAGACCCAGATATGAATTTTATTTTTTGCTGTTTCCATGGAAACATGACTTAGGCTGTGACTATGAGGAAGTCATCTTGTCTGGAGCAGATCTCCCAAACTTTAGCTTTATCAAACTTGGTACACATGTTCACAATGATCCATAGATGTGCCTTTTGGGGGTTACACCAGTGTGTGATTTTTATTGTGGTTTCCGTGACAATAAGTTTGACTTTGACTGAATTTGGTGGTAGTGTTCATTTCTGGAGCAGAACTGTAAAACCTTACAATACTCTCCTTCCACTCTGCCATATACACTACAAGACATTTGACATACGTGTACTATAATCATAACTAGTAGACATATTCATGAAGAGTATCTTGCCATTGCGAGGAATATTGATGACTTTGTCCTCTTATTCCATTTTTTTGTCCTTCAGATGATCCAAAAAATGTGATCCGGAGACCAACCATGGAAACAACTATGGAATATTCATGGTAATTTTAGTTCTGACATCCATGCAGGCTTCTTCCTCAATTGGCCTACACTGTCATATAACTGACCTACCTTTGCTTAAGAGAAAGTTTACACACTCTAAAAATTATGTCGAAATTCAACTATCAGTGTCATTATTGTTGGTGTTATGTTCTTAATTTATATTTGACTTTTATTTTGAACTGGATAAGCCTTGTAGGCTCCTATTGTAATGAAAAAGTAAAGACGTTGATGAGTCCAGCATAATAATTTTCTTCTTCCAGATGATCCAGATATTCACGTCTCGCCATGTACTGCTGACTGGACACCAACAGGAATACTTTGAATGTATGTCTTAAAAATATATGAAAAAAAAAGTATTAAATGGACATGTACTTCTGTTCTGGAATCCAAGCTGTCATTTCTTTGACATACCATGATATACATGACCTGCTGTGGTAAAAACAAATTTCTGAGGTTATGAATTATGTCTAAAATAGTAATGAAGACATTGAGTTCATTGTTTTATGGCTGTTCTTCCTCTATATTTCAGGTATGCTGCTATTTCCATTAATGGCAATCTGAAACAGAAGACAGATTCACTGGTGAAAGGCTGAAAACTGATATTGTATAGAAAAATGTATAATTGTAGAGCTTTGTTGATGTTTTTTGGAGTCTGCTACTCACTGAAACTTCAGCTCCTAAGAACTATGGAAGTGATAATTGATGCTGATATTAAGTTGTATATTTTGCTTCTGTAAAACCCCATTGATGTACAGAGATAAATGTGATGAAAAATGTATAGTTTGTAGTTTTGTTTAGTGCTTCACAGACTCCTGTCTGAGAGTAGCTGAGAAACTGAAAACACTAAGAGAGGATACGTTTCTATTCTAGGCTTATTAGTGCTACTAATAAACATGTTTTACCCCTTTATTATTGTTATGATGACTATGGATAAAAGTCACATAGTCTTCTTTGCCGTGTAAGGGTTTTCTTGTCTTGATGTATGACATTAAATTATATTTATTTACGAGTTTTGTGTGTTGTTGTGTTTCTTGGGAGCTACCCTTACTGTGAAGAGTTGCTTGAAGTCATAGTAATTATTGATGTAATGATTTCAAAATTTCAGGAATTTATAAATGATACTTATAGATAAAACCTATAAAGTCATTGCCTACATACTTTGATTAATTTTTGTTCCACATGAGTGGACGTAAATGACTTGGCAAATCTCAGTTTAGCTCGATTTTTGGGACATATATGAAGGGCTCCTACAACATTATTATGATATTCTTTGACATATAGTCTTCACTTCTGCCGTCAGAACAGTAATTGGGACTAGAATGCATAAAAAAAATAATTTTAAAAGCATTAAGAAAAATCAGCCTGCGGTGCCTACAACTTGTACAGAATTCTGGAGAAATCATATTTAAACTATAACTTAGTTTAAGTTGGAGAAAAACACACGAATCAGTTGATTCCGGACGGAGAGTCCATTAGTCCGTCCAATTCTACTTCCGGTATCAACTGTTTGAGTGGATTCTCCATTCCATGCAACTTAGGCAGGTTACAACAACCGTACCCATAACAACACATGTCACGTACGCTGATAATTGAAATCAAGTACCAGAAACCGTCAGAGAACAGTTACACTCCCCTTGCCTCGGTCTAACACATTTACCTCGGCTCGCACTGGAAGGTGTCCCGATTGAATCTACTTGGAGTATCGTTCACGTGACGATCTCATGACGTAACTGTCTGGTTTGTATCCATGGGTGGGTACCCAGCAGTTGTGATTGGTTTTTCTTTTCAAATCAAAGCGTGTACCTTATTAGTAGGGCTGCGCAATATAACCGGTTTACCGGTATTTACCGGTTCAGACATGAAAACGATACGTATTGCGATACGCTGATCGAAAACCGGTATTTTGACATGCAATCGGAAAACTTCGTAACACTCGGAAATCTTCGGATATTTCGGTTTTAAAATTGTTCCTTTCCTTGTTTCATTTGTGCCGAACATTATTTACATTTTTATTTTGTCATGATTAAAAGTTTTTATTAAAGCCTAATCAAGCATTGTGATTTTGTTGTGTTTTTGCTTTATAAATTAACACATATCGTAATACATGCTTTCGTATCGCAATATATCGCAATATGAAAATTCCCTGCAATACCCACCCCCTACTTATTAGTACAGTAGGTCAATAAGTAAGTCCTCACACATGCTGTTATGATATACAGTATTACGACAGCTGCAAATGGCTACCTTGTGAGGCTGAGGCTGTGTGATAACTCGCTGCGCCTAACAGGCAGCATGAGTCGAATACTCCCCAGGGAGTTGAGTTGGCTAAACAAAGAATGCCAGAAAAAAAGACATCCGTTGTTCAAGGGAACACTCAGGCGCCTTGAGCATGTACTAGTTGCGTGGATATGTGCGCTATATCCTATCATCATCATCATCATCATCATCATCATCATCAATAACATGCCGCAGGATCTGCTGAATGTGATATCACGTCTCCGCTGTTGCGCGAGGTATTATGTAGGTAACGGGAGGATCCGAATGAGAGCATAGGCTGAGAATGACCTCAGAAGTGTGCTTCAGACATTGAACACGAGTTCGAACTCCGATCTTTGGTGAGACCAGACGAGGCTTTAACTACTGGGCTACCCAACCCATAGAGTGAGTGAGTTGGGTATTAATACGTCGCCTTTAGCAATATTCCAGCAATATTACGGCGGGGGACATCAGAAATGGGTTTTACACATTGTACCCATGTGGGGAATCGAACCCGGATCTTCAACGTGATGAGCGGACCCTTTCACCACTAACCTACCCCACCACCCAGTGCTTTCATAGAACTAGGTGAATATAGAGCTGTATAGAATATTGGCTTCTGTCTACTTGGCCAGCGTATTGTTGAAACTTACCAATTATCTACAAATCATTTCCTCGACAGTAACCAGGCATTTTCTCCAAAACCATCGGCAATCATACTCACTTGTCGGCCATAGATGGCCTTGACATTCAAGTGATCTGAGCAGATCCGCAGAAACTGAATTGGGCAATCCGACTGGTGGAAAATATAATATACTGTAAGATTTTGACTGTTTGCTAATGGACGCGAAATATGAACTTTGCAATATTCCTTCTATTTTGGATGATGTACGGAACAGTAAATTGTTAAGAATACTTTTAGAGGTTGTAAAAATGCATTCGATATTGATTCATTTTTAGGAAATTATATCTATAAATATTTAACCTCTAAAATTATTCTTACCAATTTACTGCTCAGGTCACTTAAATGTCAAGGCCATCTATGTCCGACAAGTGAGTATGATTGCCGATGGTTTTGAGAAAATGCCTGCTTACTGTCGAGGAAATGATTTGTAGATGTTGCAATAAGTTTTTAGACCCGTGGAATGCCGCTACCGATCGAATCAAGCCCTACATAGGTGCTGTCAACGTGACACCCCACCCCCCCTTTCAAAATTCCTGGATCCGCCCATGGGAAAATATATTCAGCATAAAATAGAAGCAAACGAAAGAAATACATAACAACGTACGGTAAGTGATATGCATCTGATTGCAGTCACATAAGCCTGACAATAAGAAGGGTGATCAGGTCATCTTTGACGCCGCAATTATCTATGCGGGAGTTCTTATCTCATGCGTGGCACAAACACAGTTTCATTCTGGGTTCGAATCCCTTATCACCTTCATTATGGTTCTTCAATATTTCACACACACCCCAAACTCCCCCTCTACCCAAGCCCGTGGGTCGCTCGGCATCATCACGCCGAAGACCCGGGTTCGATTCCCCACATAGGCACAATACGTGAAGCCCATTTCGGGTGTTTCCGCCGTGATATTGCTGGAATAAATGTATTGCTAAAAGCGGCGTAAAAGCCAACTCACTCACTCACTCTCCCACATGGGTACTGAAGATCAATTCTAGCCCAGTTCTTCACGGGTGCACGTTACCAAGAAAACACATGATACACAGTTTGAAGACGATTTTTTCGAATTTCAAATAGCTTTGGGCATGCATGGATAAACACATCAGTAAAACTGTTTTTTATACACCTACATCCAGAAAAAATACAACTTGAACAGTAAATTTGTATGTATCGTGGTTTAGTTTCACAAACATATCTTAGAATAGTACAGCCACGATCAACAGACTTAAGGCTTCGTATAGTCAGATTCTTGTCTCAATCATATCATGACTGGAGGAAAACATACAATCCTTCTTATTACTGGCACACTTACGATTAGTTTTGATAAAAATACACCCCTGCTACATTAGTCTGTCACACAAACCCTGAAGCAAACATATCCAAGAAAGCCCACGCAAGTCTAGAAAATGTGGCAAGTCTAGATTTCTACAGCTTCAGGTAAGTCTCAGGGCTCCTTTTCATTTAGATATTTATTTCTTTTACTGTGAACTTATTTTCTGTAAAATATGTTCATTTCAGAGACCAGTTGTTAGTCTATTGCTACATATGAAGCGCGGACATCTCACCCTACCGGGTACCCATTCACTGCTTGGTGAACAAAGAGTTATTTCGAACAAAAGTTTCAGCATGAGGCAGGGTAGACCGCTCCAAGGCTGTACTGAATGTAAAGCCAATGGATATATAGTATTTCTATCCTTTAAAGAGGCAAGCCCAGATTAGCGGACAGTACGGGTTCCAGTCTGTTAGAGGGACAATGCGGTATTTATTACCGTAGAGTTATGCAAGGCTAGTGGCAAGGGCCAAAGCTAGCATTGCTCCAAGGCTGTACTGAAAGCTAAGCCCCTGGATGTATAGTAATTCTATCTTTTAAAGCGCCAAGTCTAGATAAGCGGACAGGCGCAAGTCTGTTAGAAGGATATTTAATTTTTGTCTAATTTATCATTTAAACTATTAATTATTACCTTAGAGACTTGTGCAAGTCTAGGCCAAACACTTGACACTCCCGTGATCTAAACTGCCGCGCAGGACAACCCATTCAGCTACAAACGTTGTAAACACTGATGTGTGACCTGTGACCTATGACCTGTATATACGACAGCGTACTTCCCACAATCCTCGACGTCGCCCTTAATCTGCCCCTATTAATGATATTAAGCTGACAGGAAGAAGTAAAGTGTTCGTGTAGACAATTACGGCTAAACAAGCTCTTCTGGCCAGATACATCTCCAAAATAACAGAAAAGCGTAATCTGTATCACTTTGAATTATTATAATCTCAACACAAACGACAACAGCTACTCTGAACATCGACCGTAAATCAGGTCACCGTGTTTACGAACTGTTTTGAAAAAGATAAAAAAGGAATCGATTTATATTTCGCCATTGTTGTTCCATTGAGACTGAATCACACTGTATGGCACATTGCAGTTCTGAGGCTTTCATGTTGATGATTACTTGATATACACGTTCCTTGCCTTATCAATTTCTATGATGGAGTTTCTTTCACTCATGATGACACAACTCAAAGTTTTGGTGAGAGCAGATTTGAATTCAATTTCAAGTCTCACATTTCCCGATTTCACCAGATTGAGATGTTCAGTTCCTACTTCATCCAGTTCGAAAACAAAGAGAGCACTGCCAAGCATGAAGTCATTTCTTGAAATGAAGTTTCCCTTGTTTTGTTTCCAAAGTCCTTTACTATCAAACATGTTCAGATACGTGTCTGCATCATCTGCAGGTTTAGCTCTCCCAGGAACACTGACTCCATTCACATAGAGGTTGATCGTTTTAATCATGCAAATTGAAAGTTGAATGGATTCCCATCATATTTCCCATTCAAACTGCTACAGTTTACACATCCTACAATGTATCGATTAGCAATAGGATTTGAGACATTGTCAATGGTATGTGTTAATTGTGATACAGAAGGATGAAGCAGGTGGAAACATCATCCTTGAGTTCTGTGGACTGAAGGCAAAAATGTATTCCTTCTTGATGAAAACAGACAAAGAACTCATTGAGAAAAAGACAGCCAAAGGCATTAAAAAATCAGTCATCAAGAAATTCCTCAGACACTGTCATAAGTTTACACAACAAATAAAATGCCTTTTGTGTTTACTTTAACCACAAAAAAAAAAGTTCACTTCAAATCGTAGTGTAGCATTGTTGCAGAATTACGGAAATGACTTTGTTTTCTGGAAGCATGAGCCATATCGAATTCATGCAAGTTGGCTGTGTAATGATATCTTGCAGGGTTTTGTAAATAATTAATCTTTGCCGGAGGTACCATTAACCTTTATTTTTACTTAATTTTCACTAGTGAGTTAAAGCTTTTGATGGGTAGTATGTCTTAGATTGAAAAAATTGCGATCCGCTGGAGTGTAGCGCCAAAACACAACTTTGAGGCGAGATGCATTAGTT